CGTGAATCTGGTCTCATCACGCTGTTAAAACCAGGGATGGCTGTTATGGTGGACAGGGGCTTTCTTATTGATGACATTGTTCCCTGCAAAGTTTACAGGCCAGCATTTCTGTCTGGCAGGTCTCAGATGTCTGCTGAGGATGTTAGAGAGACCCAGGACATAGCACGTCTCAGGGTGCATGTGGAGCGCCTCATTCGCCGGGTCAAAGAGCACAAGTTACTTGACTCTGAAATTCCCCTAGGTGTTTTTGGTATAATCAACCAACTGTTCACTGTTGCTTGTCTACTCACAAATTATGAAAATGGCCCACTAGTAAAGTCCTGGGCAAAGAAGCCTGACATCTGAGTAACAGCAAGAAAATATGCTGTATATCTATGTTTGATTTTGTTTTTTTGTACTTACAATAAAATTAAATCACTGTCATAAATATTTCAATTTCTCTGAACTTTTTCCATTAAATCAGTTCTTTTATAACATTTTTCATGTAAGTCAAGCCATCAAGTGGGATATTGAAATACAGTACTAATAAAACTGAAATGAAAAAATTTATTTTATTTATTTATTTTTTTTTCAAAAAATGCCACTCATCTAGTGAATGCAAACTGTTGAAACAGAAAAACACAGTTCACAAAGAGGGTATGATTATAACAGCCTAATAGCTAATTTCAAACAGAATAAATTGTATCTGACCTTAAAGAGAAATACATAAATCTAACTGCTTAAAAATAATATAAATGGAAGGAACATGACACAAGTATTAACAGTATTTTCAATCATATATGCAAAGGTTAAAATTTGACTATGTTACCTTAATTTGCCAGGCAAGTGCTGAGGTAAAAATAAAAAAAGAAATGGTCAACCTTTTGTTTTATGGTTTGCAGTACTTGCATGTCACGGGGAACCCTCTCAATAAACATGTCATTTTCTGTGTAAATGACAAAGTCACACCAGTCACACCCTGAAATTAGCATTTGTCCCTGGATTTGCCAGTAATATGGGTGTGTACGTTTGAGTGTCTGCCTACCATCCCTAATCATTATGTAAGAGCAGTCCACATAGCTTGTCACATTTGGGCATTTTATTTCTAAAAGGCCAAACACTTGTTGCTCCTCAGGATCGTAAATAATTCCATCTGGTGATGACCCCATCCATGGTGCGTCAGGATGTATCAAGAACCCACATGGGTAGTGGTTTACTTCCCTTACCCTGCAATACTCCTCTATAGCTGTTGGCTCTAAGGCAAGCCCCCGCCGCATGTCAGCAGTTTGACTGCAGGGTCTCAGAAGCCTTTTCGCAAGATTTTCAGAAGAGCTGTCACCCCTGGTGTGACAGACCTCCCTAAACCTTGTTGAAGTAACACGACACTTTCTTAGTTGGTGCCACTCTGGACAGAAGCTCTGCTCCCGTGTGCTGCTCTCAATTTTGTGAGACATCTCTAACGTTGTCTCAAGGGACATCATATGGTGTTGCTGTTGTTCTGAACATACATACGCACAGCTGGAGTGTTCAAGCCTGTAATTGTAGAGTGGAAGCTGTGGGGGAGAAAGGACGTGTTGGTGTGGACGGGTCCTGGGAACTACCTTTGCTGGCAGCTGATATGACAGAACACTTCCCTCTTGTACTGGACCAAACAAAGAGTCAACAAGAGGGACATCGTTGGAGACAGCCATTGTGGTGATCATTGGCGCTTCTTCAGCTGGAAGTCCCCGGTACACATCCTGTATCCTTAGGGTCGAGATGAGTGGCAGAGGGCTGGTAGTGCCTTTATACAAGTTGCTTCTGTTGAGAAAAATAAAAATTTGTCATAAACAAGACATTAATAGGCAAATGATGAAATTTATACTAAATAAAGCCTATGTTGTATTTTAGGCAATAAAGTTATTGTCTTGTTTAAAAACGAAGTTTGATTAATTACTTATTTGCATTTTTAACCTATCTCTGGCATAGTACAACATAAGCTTAAGTACCATACCATAACATTTTATGTATAAAGCACATAAAACAGCAAAACATGCACTTCTTGTGCATGTGTTGTGATAGTAAATTTAATGAATTTTAAAAATGTGTGTGTGTGTGTTTGTGCATGTGTCTGTGTTCTTTAAATTAAAACAAACCTAATTCCTTCAAAGATTTTCCTCTCTCTTGGTTTTGCTGACAGGACGACCATGTCCTTAACTGGACCAGGTTTTATGCCCTGCATCCAAAAACAACATTGATGTAAATACAGTATTGAACTATAATTCATAAGCAGGAATAAAGAGTCATCAATATGTAGTTACCATTGTCCTCGGTTTATGCCACTTTTGTTCGGTGTCTGTGCAGCTTAGGACTGGAGGAACAGCTGGAAGCTTCAACTGGGAGTAGTGAGCCGTCTGGAAAAGCAGAGCTGCCACATGGCTGCACAGGACTGTACCTGCCACACAGGTGCACTGACATCCCTGAAACTCCACCGGCTTTGATTCCCTCAGCACCATCTGTGTACAATACCAAATATTTCAGAGACCAAAATGTACCAACTGTAAATGCTATTATAAAAAGACAACCGTAATTATCAAAGTCCTACTAGCTTCTTAAAACACAGCCCTGTAGAGAACATGTCGGGTGGTTTTGACTTACACTCAAACAGTGGGGCTTCTGGCTTTTCCTCATTGACTGGAAACACTCAGCCCTAACTGTTACTTCTCCTGCCTCCTTGTTTGAAACTAATATTTGGGTTAATCAGAAAAATTGTACAGACAACACACGTTTACTCAACAATATAGCAAGGTTAGCTACGTTAGCTGTGTTATATGTAGCCTGCATGAGGCAGTTCGGTGAACTGAAAAAAAAAATACCGACTTACCTTCGTACTTATTTATGTAGTTGGACACATAAAGCTTGAATCCTTTGTCCTTTTTAGATGTGGGCGCTTTCGAGAAAGTCTGAATAATTCTGTAGACATCATTAACAGATATTGTTGGCAAGTCCTGCAGTGATCGAGTGAAAAACGCCATCACTAACACTGTGTTGACAGCAAACAGGAAGTGCGCAGCCCTTCTGAAAAATGCGGAAGTGCTAGAACGGAAGTCCGTGGCATATAGTCTA